TGGCTTCATTCTCTCAAAAGTCTGGCAACTCAACTTTTGTTTTGAGTAACAAAAATGGGTCAATCACAATGGAAAAATTACCTGAACCCGGCACTGTTGGTGCTGCCATTGCTACATTCAGGGTCATCACTTCAAAAAAATATTCAACCATTAGACAATGCATTGGAAACTCCGTCATGCTCGAACCATTTGATCTTCCTGGGATGCTTCTAGTGACTAAAGGGTCAGATCTTGCAATCACAAATTCTTTCAATGGGGAGGCCTCTTCTAGTTTCCTCTTGGTTCCTGGATTGGATGGAAACTCTGATTCTGTGTCCTTAGAGTCAGTAAGCCAGAAGGGATGCTATGTATATAGTGGTGTGAACTACCAATCTAGTGTGAGCCTGAAGCTGCGCTGCAAAGGGGAGTCATCTGATGCGGAGTTCAATCAGGCTGCAAGCTTTGTAATGAAGAAGGGAATAAGCGAGTATCACCCTATTAGCTTTGTAGCAAAAGGGGCAAGGAGGAATTTTCTTCTGGCACCATTACTGAGCTTCAGAGATGAATCTTACACTGTTTATTTCAACATCAACAAGCATAAAAAATTTGAGTGAGAGTGCTGGAAATCGTGGCCATGAGCTTGCCACCAAACAATAAACTTCATCTTTCTGCTACTTCACGAAGTTGAAGTTTTCATGGTTTTTTTTTTCCCAGTAAATAAGCTTTTCATTTTCAAGTGTTTGAAGTATTTAACGTTTCAAAGTGGAACTGAATTTATCCATATCCTTGTTAAAAATCAAGGATTCCTAAGAAGAAAAAGACGGAATGAAAATCCAAATCTCTCATTGAATTGAAAATAAACTAGCCTTTAAATAGGTTTTACAAGATAATATTATCTAAAAAAATAACTAGTCAATCTTATCTAATGTAATTTAAATTATAACAACCTAAAACAAATAAATAACTTAAACTTTCTAATTTATAAAAATAATGGTTAAATAATATAATCTAATTTCCAACAATCCCTCCCTTAAACTGAAAGTCTTAGACTTTCAATTTAAAAAAATCTAAAAAACACCATATCTACAATCTGGAATCTGCAGACCCTCCCTCAAACTGAATTCTACATACTGCAAACACCAAGTAACTCTCTCAGTTTTGAAAAAGCTGCTACTTTGAGGGGTTTTGTGAATATATCAGCCACTTGATCTTCTGTTCTATAATAAGTCAACTCAATTGTTCCATCTTCTACCAAGTTGTGCAAGAAATGATGCCTCACATGTACATGCTTGCTTCTCCCATGCAGAACTAGATTTCTAGAAAGCTTGATAGCCAAACTGTTATTACAATAAATTGAAGTGGCCTCATGTTGATTTAGCTCAAGTTCTTCCAAAACTCTTCTCAACCAAATAGCTTGACAAGCACAAGAAGTTACTGCTACATACTCTGCTTCTGTTGTGGACAAAGTCACAATGGGCTGCTTCTTTGAAAACCATGAAACTGCACCAGATCCCAACATAAAAACATACCTAGAACCGCTTTTTCTATCATCCAAATCTCCAGCATAATCACTATCTGTAAAGCTTGCGAGATCTGTCTGGTCACCCTTCTTGTAGAATAGTCCAAAATATGCAATTCCACATAAATATTTGAGAATTCTTTTAGTAGTCTACAAGTGCAACTCCTTTGAATGCTCCATATATCTACTAATCAGACTCACACCATGCATTATGTCTAGTCTTGTTGATGTTAGATACATCAGACTTCTAACAATCTGCTTATACAGTTTGTTGTCCACAGATTTGCCTACTGGATCTTTCATGAGCTTTACACCTTTTTCAACTAGTGTAGTGATAGAATTGCAGTTCTTCATTTGAAATCTGTCCAAAACTTCTTGCATATATTTTTTCTGACAAACAAAAATTCCAGAATCTAACTGTA